ATAATTGCTTTTATAAAATTCATGATTTATAAATAGGTCTGCGGACCCATTCGGTAGTAATCAAAAAACTTCGGAGGGTCGTTTTCTAAATCGCGGTGGAGATGATTGAATTCGCATTTCGCCGAGACCCACCGTCTTTTCCAGTATAGGGTTTACCCAATACAATCTTCTTTTTTGAACTCTTTTCCGCCTTCTGTAAGGAGTTTCTAAAAAATACCCGTCTTCTACATCCATTTCAATATTTAATCGCAAAAAGCAACAATTACTATTCAACGTCGCGCGTCGCTACTACTGTCAGTGAAACAGCTTGCAATGGACGACCCCTGTCGCACAAGATCGCTTATCTTATAGCCGCGTGTTGACGCTCGTATCGCGTAAGCCCGAAGCCGCTTGTTTTCGCTTCCAGTGGACGACCAGCCTAAGTATCGTAGGCCTCGGATAAACTCAACTGTTTGAATTATCCGACTACTAGTAGAGTGCTCCGTGGCATAAATTATGACTTCCGTGGGGGTTTTGGTGTCACAAGCTGAAATTCACAAAAAATCAAAGGTCATGATATACTGATTGTAAATGTCAAGGCCGTCCAAAATCGGTCCATGCATTAGGGCACAAAACGCGAAAAACGAGTTAAGCACATGTACGGAAAGAAGAAAAAATAACGAATTTTTTCGTATATAAATCAAAATGTTCTTTGTACAGTGAAAGTAATAATAAATTATCAAACGTTTCGAATTACATTGGGTCTTACGGAAGAATTAAACTTCAAAAGCGATTATCTCAGTTCGATATCCCTAAAAATTCGACAAATTTTGAGCAACTTTTGCGTTTACATCGTATTATTTAATAAACGGAAGCCTAAATCAAAAAGTTTTACTCTTAAAAAAAGTTTCGCTCATCGTTTATCTTTACATTGCACCGAGAATTATAATTTTATCTGCAGTAGTAACCAAAATATGTAATTAAAAGTAAAACAACGAACTTTTTACTCACTTACAAACGGAGCGCTTTCGCTCCGGTGAATACAATCCATCTCTACATTTCCCGTAGCTCCATTTCGCTCTTACACCATAGGTACGTTCTCGACACGGGTATACCAGAGTTTTGCCAGTGTATTATTTTGTGTAGGTATTGCGTTTTTTTTACAAATGTATATTTTAAAACCAACTTTAAATTAAGAGTGGTCAATAGTGAACGAATCAGAAGTGAAATTGATTAATTGTAGGTACACTAATATTTTATAATTATTTTTTAACTGGGGTTGTAAAGTTACAGAATACAAATATGGATAGTACAGATAGCACCGGTACAAGTGATGAAAGTGATCTTGAATGTTTGTTAAAATTTAAGGGTAAGCTCCGTCCAATATGTATTATTTGCAAAAGAGAAGGTGCATCTTTAAGTGTTACTAATAAAACTGCACTAACTTTCATAGAATGTACAAAAATTAGAGACGGCATAACCAAAGTTTCCGATTCACAAATTCACAAAATAATTAAAGACATCAAGCTTGGAAATATAAGTTTATGGTATTGGCATAAGTCATGTTATTTAACGTACACAAGCAAGAAAAATATTGAAGCTTTACGTAAAAAACTTTCCAAACCAGACCAATACCTTGAAAGCGGTTTAACACCACCCCCTACAATAGGCAAATCTTTGCGGGGAATAAGTTCATTTAACATTAATAGGTGTGTAATTTGCCAGAAACGTTTACCCGAAAAACGCTTGTCACAGGTAATGTCCATAAATATTGACCAAAAAATAAAGCATATAGCAAGTGTCAATGTAGATGTTTTAAAGAGAATAGGATCGAATGATTTAATTGCCATGGAAGTTAAATATCACGTGACTTGCTTAAACACATATCTAAGAAAATATAGGAAAGCATCCGCTGATTCTTCGGAACAGTTAATCATTAAAAGCGCCAAGCAAACAGACGACAGGCCATTTAATAATGTGCTAACTAAAGTAAATGAAGGTATCGCAAAGGGGAAGGCTTTTACTCTATCCGAGATATATAGTAAGTATGTTCAATTAAATGGGTTGAAATCAAAACGTGTTTTCGTTGAGGCGTTGAGAAGAAATTTAGGAGAACAAATAGAAATTGTTAAATCGAGACGTGTGAACGAATCCTCTATCCTTCTACCAAAATTTGGAAAAACGGAAACTCTCCACGAATATATCGATAATGCCGATGATGCTTCTGGTTCGCAATCCATACTCATAGGTCCTTCTGAACTGGCGCAAATGGACAAAATATGCAGTGATATTCGAGTTGAACTTGATAAAATACCAGATTTTGTTGATTTTAACGATCTTACTATTGAATGTTACAAACAATACATACCTGAGAGTTTAATTTGGATAATAAAGTGCATAACTGGCGATAGCGGGGAACTTAATTCAACCATGAGTATTTGCCAAGACATTATTTATAGCTGTTTTAAAGGGCAAAAGATAACACCCAAGCACGTGGGCCTAGGGATCATGATTCATCAAGAAACTAGATCAAAAAAAATTATCGAATGCTTGCACTCCTGCGGGCATTCTATTCCGTACAAAGATGTGTTAAGACTCAGAAATACCATCGCTCAGAAAGAAGTTTCACGATTCGTAGAAAATGATAACTCTTACATACCCACGCAACTCGTTGAAAAACGTTTTGTTCAATTCGCTGGAGACAATATCGACATTTTGGAGGAATCTCTTGACAAAGCGCCTACCTTTCATGGAACCCAAATCGTTGCTTTTCAGGCAGGGCCACCACACAGGCAACTTTCACCACTAAAACTACTGCCCTATAAAATAAAATTAACCATTCCTGAAAGTTTTCACACGTTACATAAGTCAAATTATAACAAAAGCAAAAAATCTGTTCCACGGCTAGAAAATAAAAAAAGCATCCTCACAGAAGCAAAACAAAACAGTTTTATTCAGGCTTATAATTTTGCGTGGATACTGTGCAGGACGGCTGCCACCGACACGCATAAAGGTCCCAGTGCTGTGGTAGTTCCGCAGTGGTCTGGATTTGGAAAACTGTTGCATCACGATGACACACATATTACAACATACGCTTACCTACCTTTATTACCTTATGTGGCGTCAGAATACGATACTGTCTGGACAACGATGGTACGATGCGATCAAATTGCAAAAAAATTAAAATATCCGTATACGGTCATAACTTTCGATCAAGCTATATATTTTAAAGCGAAAGAGATACAGTGGTTGAAATCTGAAGAATGTTCGCATTATGTAATAAGATTAGGTGGATTTCATATAATGTTAAATTTTCTGAAAGTTATTGGGCAGCATATGGAGTGTTCGGGACTTAACCATGTATGGTTGGAATCAAATTTATATGGAGATGCGACTGTTTCAGGAATTATGGAAGGAAAAAAATGGAACAAAGGTATACGCGCACATAAAGTTACATATGAAAGTCTCATGAGAATCTTTACGCCGATGTTTGAAAAATGGTTAATCGAATGTAAGAGCGATCTCATACATACTATAAACATGTCGAGATTAAAGGCTAACGAAATTTCTAAAAAAATTAAGAAACAAAAACCTTTAACTGATTTTTTTGACATTATTAAAAGTTGTGAAGAGTTGCAAAATGCATTTAGAGACTTTATTGATAGCCAGTCCCCTACATTTCAACTTTGGTGTAGTTACTTGAATATGGTAGAAACTTTGTTAGAATTCTTGTACAGTGAAAGAACTGGTAAATGGGAACTGCATTTGCAAAGTTTTAGAAAAATGCTTCCGATGTTTTTTGCATATGACCATACACACTACGCCAGGTGGGGTAGTGTGTACTTGTGTGATATGAAGAATTTGTCCCTTATTGCACCTGCCGTGCATAAAGAATTTCTTAATGGCCATTTTGTGGTGAAAAAATCTAAGGGAGGATTCAATCATATTTCGGTTGACCAAGCATTAGAGCACGTGAACAAAACGTCAAAGGATGCTGGAGGAATTATTGGTTTAACTAAAAACAGTACCAGATTAGATGAGTGGTACCTTAGTTTTAATGAAATAGGTGACATGATAAACACATTTCGGGGATCCTTGAAATTAGATCCCGATAGTAGTAGCCAAAATATTGAAATAGGTAAGCAAAGGATTCTTATCGATGAACAAACTGTTTTAACCTTACAAGAACAATTTCTTAAATATGGAGTTTTTTCTACGCATACTGAAAATGTGATATCTATTGCTACAAATGAGATATATTCGGAGGAATTACAAACAGCAACACTTGGTGCTAAACTAAGAGGTGAAGCAGCTCTTGAAAGTTTCATTCAAAGTATGGATAGCACAGATTTTTACAAACCACTTAAAAAAATACGCACAGCTGCATATGTGAAAAGAAAAGAGCAACCTTCGACAAATTCAGATAAATTGTTGGGGCAACAGTTTTTACAGAAAATATTGGCTGCAAAAGAAATGGGAAGGAATATAAATTACGAAGATATATTTCGACATGAATTGACACATTTTCCTATGTCTCTAACGGCGAATGGACAACTAGGCACTCCATCACACAAAAGTGCATTGGGGAACATACTCGAAAAATATACCCAGTCTTGTACAATGCTACCTCCAGAAAAAGAAAACACGAAGACATGCCACATATATGATGGTATGTCAATTGTACAAATCCTGGGCAAACCATTGAATTGCAAAACGTTCGGAGAATATGCGGAAATTTTTTCCAAAATTGTGTTTACTAACAGATTCAATGCAAAAAGAGTCGATGTGGTTTTTGATAACTACAGGGAAAATTCTATAAAAAATGTTACTCGGATGAAAAGAGGTCAAACAGTTGGTATTCGCAGAATAATCGATAATCCCAACACTACGTTACCTCAACAATGGCACTTATTCATTAACTCTGTATTTAATAAAAGGCAAATGACAAATTTTCTATCAGAACAACTAATTACCCTTTCTAAAACTAGACAGATCCAATTTGCTACAAGTGGAGGGTTCGAAAATGTTACCGATTTTAAAACTAATGTTGAATTAGGAGATTCTTGTAAATTTCTTACTTCTGATCATGAAGAAGCGGATACTAGAATTATTTTGCATGTGTTGTCTGCTAAAATGGCTGGGTACACCCGGTGTATTGTGGAGTGTAGCGATACAGACGTGCTAGTTCTGTTAGTGCACTTCAAAAAGCAGCTTATTCCTGAACTCTGGATGAAAGTTGGCAAAGGGGAAAACTTAAGGTACATTCCAATTCATGATATCAATATGTCTGAAAATCTTTCCAATAATTTACCAGCATTCCATGCTTTAACGGGTTGTGACACTACAAGTCAATTTGGAGGATTCGGAAAGAAGACCTGTTGGAAAGTATATCTGGCATACAGTCACTACTTAAATGGGGTGGGCATGGATGACATCTCAGAAGAATTGTTCATCCGCATGTACAATTTCGTATTAAAAATCTATTCCAAGAATCCAAATATCACGTCCATTAATACACTGCGTGGAGTTATGGCTGCTGCTACGCCCATCAATAAGTTGCCACCAACAGAAGATGCACTGAGGCAACACTGTTTAAGGGTGTGTTTTCAAACTAAAGTATGGCTGCAGGCATCAGTACCACTCCCAAAATTACCCTCCACAACAGAATTCGGATGGTATGTTAGTGCAAAACGCGAACTTTTGCCTGTTTTTACCACATTGCCGCCATTCCCCACCAATTTGGCTGTTCTAACTTCTTGTGGATGTAAAAAGGGTAAGTCCTATTACTTTACTCACTCAGCTTGAACAATATATTTATGTATATTCGTATAGATTGTGCCAGTAAGGTGTGTTCTTGTAAGAAGAACAAATTGTGTTGCATAGGCTCTTGCAAATGCATGGCCCAAAAAACATGCAAAAATCCACTAACCGCATCCCAATCAATACTTCTTCCAGAGCAAGGCGATTCTGAATGCTCAGATGACGAGTAGGTTATTAAAAAATTGAGTCAGATTTTTTCCATGCGCCTTTTTCTTTTAATGCACCTACCTAAGTAATTAAATTCCTTTAGTTTACGTTTTAGTTTAGCGTTTGGTTGTCTTTGTTGTTACATATCATTTAGTTACTGGTATGATACAATTAAAAAGTTATATTTATAGGAGTTGTATAACGTTTTATAAATTAAAGCGATGTTCTGTATTTACAATTTTTTTTCACCTGCCACCTACTTTGATCTGTTTTAGAGTTTCACATTTATGTAATTTTCTGTATTATTTAATTAATTTTAATATATTAATATACGATTATATACTTTGACACCCGCGCCGACAGCGTACCGCTGATACAAATAAGCGTACCTACGATGATGTAAGAGCGAAATGGAGCTACGGGAAATGTAGAGATGGATTGTATTCACCGGCGTGAATCCGCGTCGCTTGTGAGTGAGTAAAAAGTTCGTTGTTTTACTTTTAATTACATATTTTGGTTACTACTGCAGATAAAATTATAATTCTCAGTGCAATGTAAAGATAAACGATGAGCGAAACTTTTTTTAAGAGTAAAACTTTTTGATTTAGGCTTCCGTTTATTAAATAATACGATGTAAACGCAAAAGTTGCTCACAATTTGTCGAATTTTTAGGGATATCGAACTGAGATAATCGCGTTTGAAGTTTAATTCTTCCGTAAGACCCAATGTAATTGTTACCGTTTGATAATTTCTTATTACTTTCACTGTACAAAGAACATTTTGATTTATATACGAAAAAATTCGTTATTTTTTCTTCTTTCCGTACATGTGCTTAACTCGTTTTTCGCGTTTTGTGCCCTAATGCATGGACCGATTTTGGACGGCCTTGACATTTAGAATCAGTATATGATAACCTTTGATTTTTTGTGAATTTCAGCTTGTGACACCAAAACCCCCACGGAAGTCATTTCTAGACGACTTTCTTTGCAACGAGCACTCTACTATACTGCCGACGACAAACGCGTTAGCACGATTTACCGTAAGATATAAAATCTGGGCATTTCCTACGTACCGTAACCGTTCTAACGCAACGTTAACGCGAACTATAAATGTTCACGCGCAACAAGTAGGGTTTTATTCTAAACGTTACGGTACGGCGTTGCGGGTACGGAACTATAAATTCAGCTTAAAGCAAATAAAGGTACTACACCAGCAAGAAGATGCTATGGGAGAAATGATCTAGGTACGTTAAGAGTATTTGGGTCGAGAGCATGGATGGTACAACTACCAAGACAAAATAAATTAGACTCGCGAAAATGCGATCTACAACGCCGTAAAATCTATGTTAAACCACGGATGCTTTTTCGACTATAATTACTCAATACCAACACGGATTTAGCAAAGGCAGATCAGCTGAAACCAACTTGTTCGGCTACAGCTACACCAATGACATTTTCGTCTCACTGGACCGTGGACTTGATGTTCACGCGGTTTACACGGACTTCGCTAAGGCCTTCGAAAAAGTTAACCACGACTTATTAATATTTAAGCTAAAAAAATATGGTGTTAGCGGAACTGCTTTGATTCTGCTCCAGAACTACTTATGCAATCGGAAAGCACAGGTGAAGATAAGTGATACGTGGTCCAATCCAATTGAAGTGAGTTCGGGTGTTCCTCAAGGATCCCATCTTGGTCCAGTACTATTTTTGATTTTTATAAACGATATATCATCGGTGTTTGTGTCTAAACATGTCTTATTTGCGGACGATCTGAAGATATATAGACCTATTGCAGACCTTCGAGACATGAGTTTGCTACAATCTGATTTAGTGCGACTTGAAAAGTGGGTGGTTGAAAATGACATGAAATTAAATGTTGAAAAGTGTCACGTGATCTGTTTTTCCAGAAGGAACTCTCCATCTTTGCAAAGTTACTATATGTACGGTCAGCTGATTGATAGCGTGGATTCTGTTCGTGATTTAGGTGTGATCTTGGATTCCAAGCTTACATTTCGATTGCATTATGATAACATTGTATCTAAAACTACCAAAATGATTGGGTTTATCAACAGGCAATGCAAAAGTTTTTCTAATCCATGCACATTACGCACCCTATACTACTCATTATTCGATCGAATCTTGATTATTGCTGTATAATATGGTCTCCCTATCTTACCACACATATCGGTAGATTGGAAAGAGTGCAATCCTATTTTCTTCGATTGTTAAAATATAAGCTCTCTTTGGCAGGAATCGTGTTTGAAAGAACCAATGACGTAAGACTATATCTCAATATCATGCGGTTAGAAAATCGAAGAACACTACTTACTCTGCAGTTCGGCTTTAAGTTATTAAACGGCCACATAAACTGTCATACTATCTTGTCTGACATTTACTTTAATGTTCCACAAAGATTCGTTCGATCTTCGAGGCTTCTTTACATGAGACCAAATCGAACTCTTTACCTTCGTAACAGTCCTCGAAATCGATTGTTGGAGTTATTGAACAATTTTAATGATAAAATCGATTTATTTAGTGTATCTCTCCCGATTTTCAAATGCAATACTATAATACTTTTAACTGAATGACGTTGCGTGTTATCATATCAATATTTAAATTTAATTATTTCGTGTCATCTACTTAGGTTCACGTAGTTGTTAGCTACGATTATTTATTATTATAGTATATTATATTGTAAATTGCCCTAGGCGTAAATAAACGTTATTATATTATATAAATGTCGGAAATATCACTCACTAAAATGTCGATTAGACGGATTAGACAGACAACAGTGCGCATGATCGGTATTCTACCACAGCTGTCTATAGTTACAAGGCATGCTGAGAAGTTTGCAACGTTGTTCGAAAGTCAGTGGGAGGGCCGATAAAAATGTCAATGGAGTCTTGTTGCTCTTGAAACACGGCATCTTTCCTCTCTTCTGTATTTCGCCTTGGTGGTTTTAATACCGAAGAAAGATACTTAGGCCGCTTACAATTGTACCTATATTTTATTCATTTACAAAAATGGATAATGACATTTTTATTTGACTTTAAAATTCGGAACGCTGTAAATTGGTAACTGCATCGTAATGCGTTTTTTCTATTTCGGTGTCACAATGATGATTTTGTACAACTGTTTTCGACCGAAAACAGTTGTACAAAGACAGTGATTATAGTCGTTTTTTTTTGGTAACTCATCTCTTAAGTTGGCAGTTACTAGTTAGTAGAAGTAGGTACTTCGTTGGGTACTTCCATGTTTGAACCAAGGATACTATATAATATAAGGATTGCTCGATCACTGAATTTTTTCGCCGCGTGTAGTGACGTCACTCGCGGACCCAGTACCAGCGCATGCTTTGATTAACGCCGATTCCCATTATAGCAGCATCGAGCAGCGCGGCGCGGTGAAAAGCTGCTCTCAATTTTTCGCATGTAAATAAGTAGATCCGTTTTCACCTAGGCAGAGCGGTGCAGAGCAGAGCGGCGCGGTGCAGCGCAGCAAATTTTAAACGCGTCGGGAAGCATTGGAATACGCGGCGCTGCTTTGAAACGCGCCGCTCTGCGTGTAGACGGACAAGTGGGAATTGAGGAGCGAAGCAGATCAGCGTGGTGCTGCGGCTTGTGAAAAGCATTCATTTGTCTTCTGTGTTGAGCTTGCGTGTGTTAGTGGATTCGCTATGGACGGACAAAGAATAGAAAAATTAATTGTACTCGTCCGCTTTCTTTTTCTTCTTTTTTCGTCGTGTACATGGCATAGTGCCGCTATAAATATTGTGAAATCATCTGGTGATGATGACGATGATGGCTCTTTTTCGAGCGTGTAAGAATACATTCTCCCTTAAACTGAACACAAACAGAAACGCTGCTACGTCACGTCACGCTTCCAAATGGTGCTTAAGTGGGAATACCCCTCTACAATTTGCTGCTAGCGACGCGCCGCGCTGCTCTACGCCGTGCCCCTCGGTGCTGCTCTAATGAGAATCGACCCTTAGGATTACCATAAAATACGTTCAAATGGGTGTTGTAGACAGGCATTTAAATTAGAAACACTTGTCCATTAATCTCGCTTGCAGCACCATATCCATTCCTTTCGTATTAATCCAACGGTTTTAGGGAAGTTATGGTAAATGACTTCCGGGTTAGTGATTTTTTTGCAAACACGGCTGTTGTTACAGTCTAATATTGCACATCGGCGTCTTGGCGTCCATGCAAATACGGTCACAACTTAGCAAATTATAACTGTCAATTCTGACAGCCAGGTCCCTTGTTGACGTCACCTATGACTTAAACTTGGGCAACATTACAAGTATAGGGATCGAGCCACAGCCGTCTATAATTACAAGCCATGCTGAGAAGTTTGGCAACGTTGTTCGAAAGTCAATCGGTGGGCCGATTTAGTTTTAATGGCGTCTTGTTGCTCTTGAAAAATGGCATTTTCCTCTCTCCTGTCTTTCGCCTTGGCGGTTTTAATATAGAAGAAAGATACTTAGGCAGCTTACAATTGTGCATATATATTATTTATTTACAAAAATGGATAATAACATTTTCATTTGACTTTAAAATTCGGAATGCTGTAAATTTGTAACTGCATCATAATGTGTTTTCCATCGAGATCTCCGAAATTGATTAACTTCTGTCGAAACAGGTCGAGGTGAAGCACACGCTTGAGCACTTAATTTCGGTAAAAGGACAGTAAATCGCTGCGCATCAGAGAGGTTATATCAACGACCAAGTGTGATTCGGAATGGCAGACTTTAAGCCAGCCGCTACTCCAGTGGGTGTAGGTACGAAGCTTTTAATGAGGGGAGCACTGTAGACTTCAAATTCCCGTACCATGAACTCTTGGGAAAAGTTGAAAGGTTCCTTCAGAAAATCGATTTGACATGTCCGTGCTAGAATACCTGAAATACAAACTAATTGTATTTTTTCACGATAAACACTTACCGTACTTACGTACCACGTAGTGTGTAGGTCATATCTGAGCTTGTACAGGTACTTTGAACCAGAGACTTGCTATAACCATTT